CACTGTCAGATTAAGAAACAGTTTCGAAGCCTGTAACCCCAGCACACGAGGCTCACCCCAGTGTGGGCAGTTCAGCGACTCAGTGAGACCTTATCTAAGAATAAAAAAGGGTGAAGGCCAGGAGGTAGCTCCGGGTGAAAGACCCTGAGTTCAGTCCTAAGGAAAGACAAAGGGGTGTGGGGGGAGATCGCCAGAGAGGCCAGTTGAAAGCTAAGGAGATCCACACTGGAACTTGCTGTCAGTAACCTGGAAACGGTGTTCCCTGTATGAGGACTTAGGCCGTTTCCGAAAGGCCGGAGAGACCAGAGACCATCTCTGATAACAAGCACAGGCCTCCTGACACGCAAAGGCAGTGCACGCAGTGATAAACAATGGGCCGGCTAAACATCCTTAGCCCCAGCGCAAGTGCCAAGGACTGAAATCAGACCAGTCCCCGGGACAGAGTACATGCCCACATTCAAGTATACACAGAGGCATGTGCTTGCATGAGCACGCGCGCGCGCGCGCGCGCGCGCACACACACACACACACACACACACACACACACACAAGCCTGCCTGGCACATGGATTCCTTGTTCATTCTGCCCCACCCCTAAAAGGTATTTCCGGAACTTAGGTTACTAGCCTTGGCAGCTTTGCTTAATACACAGATACTCTGAGGTTAAAGTTTATGAAGTGTGACCTGTTTGTCAGTGTCTAAGTTCCATTAGCCTCAGCTTCTAAGTCAGTTTTTACTTCCAGGTAGGGTGGGACAGTCACAGCCACTGCGCTGATTACAGGCAGGGGAATGAAATGGAGGGAATGTCATCCCACACTGCGAAGCGGCTGGCCCGCCCTGCAGCACCCAGAAGAGAGGCCCAAGGCCCTCACGAATGCTCTCTGAACCTTGAACGTCAAGCTCAGTCAGGAAGCAACTGGCTTTAAGACTCAAGGCAGGCTGGGGTGGTGGCGCACGCCTGTAATCCCAGCACTCACAAGGCAGAGGCAGGGCGATCGCTGTGAGTTTGAGGCCTGCCTAGTCTAACAGTGAGTTCAAGGCCAGCCTGGAAACAAAAAATTAAGGCAGCCTTGAGGGTCCAGAAAACCTGCATTAAACTCAACCAAGAGGTAGGTGAGGATCTCTCTAGACTGCCTCGCTCTGCACGCTAGAGCCCAAAGTGGAAGGGCCCGGGGGAACTGTGAAGCACTTTAGGAGGAGACCAGCACCACTGGAGGCAGGGCTCTCTTCCCCTGGGCCGGAGCACACAGAGGGGCAGGCCAGGCCCTTTGGCTCCTTAGGCCTTTGCTGGAAATTATCATCTCCCCTGCTTTCAGGTAGTGTGGAGGATAAGAACCCAGCCTACGAAGAACATGTCAGCTCCTAGGGGTGTCATGGCTCACCAGCGCTCCTGGGACAATAACTGGAGGGACAGCGGGGCTGCCGTGACCAGCGTGATTGTCATTTCTGATGGTTAATGAATTTGGAATGCGCACAGCAGTTCTGCTCTATTTTTGTGAATAATGGGACCTTCTGGAGGACTTCGGCTGTCACCCACAAAGGACCATCTCCATGTGAACAGTGTGGGATGGCCCCAGGCTTGTCCTGCAGAGACTGATTCCCATCCACCAGCTTGTATCCCTCAGAAAGCTGGTGACTCCAGAGGGTAGGTAGAAGGCCAATGGGTGAACAAGAGTTCTGGCCATGTTTTCTTTTTTGTACTAGGTACAGACTCAGGACCTTGCGCTTGCCAAGCCAGGCACTGTGCCACTGAGCTATATGCCCGGCCCTCTATTCCAAAGTCAGAGTTCCAGTCTTCCCAGTGTGGCAGCTTGCAATTCTGTCCTCTTTTCTCAGATATTTGAAAGCAGGCCTTGTCCAAGCAGGAGATTAGAAAAGGATATGGGCACTTGTTCCCCATATTTCAAAGCAGGGAAAAGGTCTTGTGAAGAGAAGACACAAAACCTGTTTGGTAACTTGTCATCTCAGTGAGAACACCCACCTCTCAGGTGAACTCCTCTGAACTCCTCCCCCTCCCCCTCCCCCCCAGCAGCCCTGGCTGGGGACCATGGCAGAGGACAGCAGGAAAACAAGGTCCCTGCTCCTCCAGAGCACCACTGCTGGGTGAGTTTAAAAACCCAAGGGAGCAATTTAGGGGCAAAAAAAGTTTATTGATCTTGCATGTCACAGGAATAGAATACACCCAGAGGGAAACAATACTCCCATTTTGAATATCATCATTTGGAAGACATCGGCACAGCAGATACACATTGCTTCATAAAACTTTTGTCATATGTATCTTATTTCTCATTAAAAAACTGTTTTTAGTACTGAGGATTGAACACACTCTGAACATCCTTAGCCCTTTTAATTTTTTGAGATGGCATCCAAATTGCCCAGGATTGGCTCAAACTTGCAGTTTGAGCTGCCTCAGCCTTTGAGTGTTGGGATTATAGGTGCATATCGTCATACCTGGCTAAGAACTGATTTCTTAGATCACCTTTAAAAAAACACTGCCACTGAATTCTCTGGAAGGGCAAATCCCCAGTCAGAGCTGCAGGGGTTAAAAAGAATTAACTACTGATTTCCTCCCTGCCTGGTAACTGGACCCAGGGCCTCATGCACGATGGTTTAGAACTCTACCAGTGAACTACATTCCTTTGATTCTTTAAATGAAAAAGTCAATGCTAAGGGGTCCACAGGCCTCATTTATCAGTTCCACTAAGATCTTCATGAAAGCCAGTTCTAAATGGGCGATCCTACTGTGGGAGCTACTTGCCAGAGTTGAGCAGAGTCCTACATAATTAAAGTCAGCTTGCACAGCCCAAGAGGGGGAAGTGTAGGACGCAGCTCAGCACTAAGCCCTGGCTCCCGCCTCCCTCAGCGGCTCTGCCTGTCAGAGTGCACAGAGCACGGTGGGCAGCAGGGCCCTGCGCGTTCCTGGCAGGCAGCATCCTTAGACCTGTCTCTTTCCTGTGCCTTCTCAAGCAGCATTACAGAAGGATGTGCACTTCGGCAGCGAGGAACAAAGAAGAGACCAAAACCCCTGATCACTGTGTGAGGTACGCACACTGGGAACCAAATGCCAAAGAGAGGCCGAGGAGGGGGACAGCGGGAGTGGGTGCTTCCACGCTGGCACCTGCAAAGCGGTGCCATGCGCCCAAGACTCCAGCTTGCACATTTGTACACTTTCTTAAAAGCAAAGGAGATTTTTTTCTGGTTTTTAAATATTAAACAAATTTTATAGAGTGACTTACAGGTATCACTTGAAAAAAAACTGGGCATTTCAGATTCATCTTCCTCTTCATTATAATTTCTTGCTTTGAAACATGGTCCTTCAAATCACCTTGAACCAGAGGGCCTTTACGAATGTAACACCACATAGCTGCGGCAAGGAAACTAATGCCTCTTGGCAAACTAGATTTTCTGTTAACACGTTATGTACACATACAGGTTAGGTCACTAGCAACTGTCCTTTGAAGCTCTTAGAAAACACAGGGCTTCAATCACGAAGATTACGGGCATAAGAAATGACGAGTAACAGTCTAATTATGAATAAATAGAAATTATGAATAAATAGAAGGAAAAGATAACAATTTAAAAGAATAATTGTGATACTGTACATGTCAAAATCAAAGTTGCTTATATGTAAAACTGAATTTATTCTTCAAAAATGTCACTGTAAGAACAAATACACTACTATACCGTCAAATTTACCTATCACAATAAAATCATAGGGTAAGATGTTAGCTCTGCCAAGACCTCCAATTATCAAACACTGTACATGGCATCTCACTTTGCAAAAGGGAAACTGATAAACCCTTTAACAAATTCAACGTGAACTGGAATGAAAAGATCAAGCACCTATTTCAGTTAAGACCATCAAGAATCTCTGAGATTATTTCACAAAAACTTGAACGGGATGAAATACTAAATACTGTGGTTCTAAGGGAAAAAACCACAATCATTTTTGTGTAACTTGTAAGGCAAGTCGACTACTATGAAAAAAATGCCCTTCACAGTGCGTTTTAGTTTGAATTTCAGTAATACTCAGCAGAAAGGAATGGGCTGTTACGGTCCTGGCGGGGACATACAAACAGGAGGGTGTGACTGCTCAGGGCAGCCTTTCCTCATCTATTTTTAGAGGTTTAAGACTCCAAACTTAATAGTTTTGATAATAATGCTCGCGGCCACAACTCCGCCTGCAGGACATAGTCTGGGAGACAAACCAGTTCTTTTCATGCCTTTCACCTATTTCACTATTTTCCCCCCTTTTAAATTAATCCTGAGATGTTGCTCATGAACAAAATCAATGAGGGATCCTTTGAGAATTTTTTGTTTCTTAGCTACCTTGGAATACACAAAACTCAAGTTAGATGATAAACTAAAAAAAAGATGTTTTTAAAAATGTTCTTCACTGAAAAAGGAAAAAAAAAAACCTGGCGTACTTAGAAGCGGGGAATATTACTGTAATCGGGAACAGAATACCACCTTGTTGAGGAAAACCCAGGTTCGCACACATACACGTGGCCTTAAGACTTCCTTGTTGGGAAGCAGTCTCTCGTGTCACGGATGGCAATGCTGCCACGGCTGTACCTGTCGGGAGGACGGGAGGGGCTCGTGTCCTGGTAGTTATTCAGCAGGGCTCCAGGAGTTTGTGTGTGTGTAACACACGCGACACCCATGTACATGTTAACACGCATTATGAATATAGACACACACGCAGCACAGACGCACACACGGCCCAGGAGAACAGATTTTGAGGTCCGATGAGACTCGCTTTCTTAAAATTACTTTTCCCCAACTCGACCTTTCCCCTTATTCTCATAATCCAAAATTACACTCATGACCCTCTCCAGGCTTCACTTTAATTTTTCACTTCAAACACTGGGCAAACCAAATTACATCAAGAAACAAAAGCACATCTAGGGGCAAAGTACCATCTTCCAGCCTTCAAAACACCGGCCGGAAGAGTAGCGTGACACCGAGAACTTCACAAGCACTTCCTCCTCCTCCTGCGGACGACGGGCCCTGAGTGCGAGGTCTGCGGCGCAGAGCAGCCCGGAGACTCAGCGGCCGCGCTCCCTCTCGCCGCGCCTGAGCGCGCGGCCCGCCCGGCCTC